CTTTGTCATTAATTCGATTCAAATAAAGCAGCGACTGATTTTGGTCCGTTGCTTTTTTAGAGGCTTATCTAAATTATTCCTTGGTTGCAAGCCAGGTATGCCCCCCAGCCCGCAAACATTTCATTTCAGCTGATTTTACCCGTTCACTGGTGTCTGAAAACATGGTACCATGGCTTCTCCCTCAAACTTCTACAGGACAACGATTATTAATGATTTACTGCTGCACTCCTTTGAGTCAGAAAGATATCAAGCAATTAGTGCTGTGCTCACATCTACTAAACCAACCACAACATTACAGCTGCGCCACTCCTGCCAGACAGAAATGGTCTGGGGCAAATTCACTCTCTTCTGACAAATGTATCCCCATCAAGTTTCTATCCTGGAAAAGTTTGTTTCAGTTACTCTCTCAGGGGCCATAAAAACTCTGTTTCACCTGAACTATCCTATTTTAGTCACAGAATTCACTGCTCCTCCCAGGCCCTGCTATTGCTCCTTCCATGTAATAATAAGGCTTAGAGTTACAGGGAGGAAAAAAAAAAAAAAAAAAAAAGAGAGAGAGAAAGAACAACATACATCCTTTCCAAGTGATCCTCCACTACCAAGATCTCATAAAGTCTCACCGTATGGGAGGGATGTATATTTGTGAAGAAAACAACAAAATTACCCTTAGAGGATAGTCCAGACCCATGTTCCCACATCCAACACAGACACACACACTGAACAGGCTGACTGAAGGGAAGGTATTGCATCATTTTCCAGTTGCAGTGCAATCAATCATTTGAAAGATTTGTTTCGTTCCATCAGATGCTTATCTGCCTCCAGTGACAAGAACATACTGCTCACTGCGTTCTCCAGCCCACCACGTGTCCCAGCAGCGGGGGAAGGAGACAGCGTACAAACACGCTTTCCCATCCCCATACAGGTCTTACCACAAAGTTTCCCAATTTTCCTGATCTTAGAATCATAGAATCATTCAGGTTGGAAAAGACCCTTGGGATCATCAAGTCCAACCATCAGCCCTACTCTACAAAGTTCTCCCCTACACCATGTCCCCCAACACCACATCTAAACGACTCTTAAACACACTCAGGGATGGTGACTCAACCACCTCCCTGGGCAGCCTATTCCAGGGTCTGACCACTCTTTCTGTGAAGAATTGTTTCCTAATGGCCAGTCTAAACCTACCCTGTTGGAGCTTGAAGCCATTCCCTCTTGTTCTATTGCTAATTACCTTTGACACAAGACCAGCACCAACATTTCTACAATGTCCTTTCAAGTAGTTGTAGAGAGTGATGAGGTCTCCCCTCAGCATCCTCTTCCTCAAACTAAACAGTCCCAAACTTCCTCAAACTAAACTGTCCTGGGTATTCACCTGGCATCGCTGCGAGGTATCGCTCAATATCCCAGAAACCTTATAATTTGAGGAGAAACACACAGTAAACACAAATGGAGAATAATAAGTATATAGATATGTTGGGGTTTCCTTCCCCTCAAACTAAACACTTCAGGCTGAACTGAGTGATCCTGTAAAACACATTTTGCATAGAGCAAAAAGACACTTTTTGTGCATAAATAATATTCACTTTTTCAGCATGTGTTTTACAAGTAGGAAGACTTTCCTGATAGAACAGCACACGCTTTTCCCCAAGGAGAGCCACTGCATGCGGTGTTTCTGAGCTGGGTGAAGAACACCAGAGCAGAGCAACGCTTCAGAAAGAACAACCCCTCTCTGGCAGTTAAACCCAGTGACCATCTCCAGGGTTCCCCTGTTGTGGGCGCACAGCTGGGCCAGTATTTACATGACCCCTCCAACTAACATCCCCACCACTGCCCTACAGCCAACATTCACTACAAGCATAAAAAACTGGGGGGGGGGGGAAACCCCAAAACATACAGGACAAACCCTGACCACTTTGTAGCCCACAGCTGCACGTGGTGGGAATGGATGGAGCCTTTGCACCACAAATAGTGCCCCAAATCCTTTCTCCACACAGAGAAAGTTCCTGGTGACATGGGACACACGTAAGGCACGCTCTTTTTAAAACCTGACTCCCGTTAAGCAGCTCATTGTTCATAAAGGGAATGGTGTTTACACAGGAAAAAGTCCAGTTTCAACAAATCTGAAATCCAACAGATGTTTCCTTCTATCTCAGCAAAACAAGTTTGTGACCTGTTTCTGCCCAGTCAGAAAGCTTCAAAATTAATTCTACAGGGAAAAAAAAATAATCCTGTACTTGACAGAATGACCCCAGAAAATAAAAATCAGAAAAACTTGTATTTCAAAATCACAGTTGCTATTAAAGTGAATTCATTTGAAAAATTTAGTCATCTTTAAGCAGCATGTTTTATGATCTGGGTTTGAAGGGACACAACATGGCAATTACAATTTTGGTTTGTGCTGGGGAGAGAAAGCGGGGCGGGGTGTTACTCACACGGCTCCATGTCGTGAATCCTCTCCTCAAATTCACTGACCTCCCTTCTCCAGACCTCTGTCCCCAAAATCCCCAGCCTCTCTTGGCTTCCTCAGCTCCCTACAGAGCTCTCTCCCCCTGCACACAGCTGGAGGTGGCTGAGCAGAGTATAAAAGGTACATCTCCTAATTTTACTGTTAATTACTACTACCAATACGGCAAGAATAAGCACTTTGTAGCAGTGTAAAAGACAAAGAACTGCAGGCTTTGCCAAACTCCTGCTGCTGAGGCTGCTCTGTCACTCACCTGACTCCTTCACCTCCCACCACCAGAGCGTTTCAGGACTTACAGGACACACCTGATGGCAATTACACCATTACAGAGCAAAGCTGCATCTGGTGACACTCTCTTGCACAACCCGAGGCTGCGAAGGCAGCATCTTCCAGGGAGTTGCTGCAATTTCTGCTCCCAACAATACCTCACTCTGGAAAACTCTAGGAGTTTTCTCCTAGAGAAGAGGAGGCTGAGGAGAGACCTTCTCGCTCTCTACAACTCCCTGAAAGGAGGGTGTAGCCGGGGGGGGTCGGTCTCTTCTCCCAAGTCACAGGTGATGGGACAAGAGGAAATGGCCTCAAGTTGTGCCAGGGGAGGGTTAGGGTGGATATTAGGAAAACAGCCCTTTCAATGCAAAAATGTAAGCCTTGGGATGGGCTGCCCAGGGACATGATTGAGGCCCCGTCCCTGGAGGGATTTAAAGTTGACAAGTTGACATAGTGCTTAGAGACATGGTTTAGTGATGGGTTTTATCAGAGTTAGGTTGATGGTTGGACTTGATGATCTTAAAGGTCCCTTCCAACCCGGCCAATTCTATGATTCTAAGATGAACCCTGCGTTGCTGAGAATTTTATCACTTTTTTTATAGCTTTTATAAAATGCAGCTGCAGAGGCCCAACAAATTAGACTAACAGCAGATACCAGTGTCAAAGCCAAGGCTAAAATATTCTTAATCGTGAGCATAACAAGTGTAATCCCTGCACACGACCTCCTGTGCCCGTCTCTGCCTCCCCAAGTCCCTTCATTGCTGGGTATCACTCCAGTTATTTCTCACCCCAGCTGTTTTGTGAGCATTATAATAAAGTTCCCACCTCCCCAGTGTTTTATGGGCAGGATGCTCAGCACAGAGGCTCCTCACCCCAGCCAAGGCCCACACACCCTGAGATGAACATAACGAGGCGGGGCTGTGATGGGGCAGCAACTATTATTAACCCACCATTATCACAACCAAAAGGAGTATCAGCAGCGTGGAGGAGACCCCACTGAGACAGATTTCAAATCCGGCTCCCAAACAATTACAGCAGAAGGTAGAGGTGGTTTTCTCCCTCCCCCAGTAATCCAGTTTGTCCTTTGAATAGAGCTTAAGTATAATTTCAAGCCGTCAGCATTTTTGTAAAGAAATACCAGCTCAGACCTAATTGGATTTGTCAGAAAATCACAGCTAAACAGTTCTGTGAGCTCCAACAGCCGAGCAGCAAGGGAAAAAAAATACCTTCCGTGCTGGAATGTGTAAGAATATGAAAGCTCATTTCAAGAGGAAAAAATTTCCTCTGAAAGTAAGTGGTAAAAAGACATAATTTGTTCCGCAGTTCAAACCCTGTCCCTTAGCAACCAACGGACAAGGAGTGACACGGCCAGGGCTGGGGGACACGCTCCACACAGACCAGTGTCTGCAGTGAACACCTCAAACCCTGTCCCTTCTGAATTCACCACCATGGCTAAAGCGTTGCCTATGACAACTTGCTTTTGTTTTAAACTTTTTAACCACAAAGAAGAAAATGGGGGTAAAAAAAATAACCCAGGGAATTCTGACAGGAACACGTAACAGGAACATCTGAAAAGCAATCAAGTATAGATCACATCGCACACAAACGGAAGAACTAGGGGATACCATATTTAAACTGACGAGTAGAAATGTCTCTTACTCCTCCTTGATTTTTTTTTCCTCACAAATACATATATGTATGTAAACATGAAACTTGCTCTGTCCTCGCTATGTGTATCATTAGCTTCTTGTTCTGTGCATGCCCCTGGGGGCTGAAATACTGCATTTTAAAGACAGTCTAGGAAATAATGGCCTAAAACCCACACAAGGCTCATCCTCTGAATGGCCAGACAGAATATATTAGAATGATGTAGAGGTCACAGGTTAAGGAAGTATAATAGGTGGAATCTTACAACACTTTCTATGCCTTCAAATTGCAGTTCCTTTAATGAAGGCTGGGATTATTCAACATGTCTATGGATCCAGAAGAAAGAAAAGTCATTATATAGATTTTTGTACGTTGAAAATTTGTGTTCATTTCACTGACTTTAAAATAACAATCGCTCAGGTTTTTAACATTTCTGTTTAGGAGAATATCAACTTGAGCACTCAGCAACATCATTTTGTGTATTTGCAGAGTTGGTACCCTGCACTATGTCCATTTTGCATTGAATTCTGAACCGTGCTTTGACCTGGGGCAAAAGCAGCATGAGGTAACGTGACGTGAGGAGTCCATCACTGTCCATACCAGCAGTTGGATGCTCTCTTACCTGTTGGCTTATCCACACCAAGGAATCCAGCCTGTCCCAGGGCTTTAAATACTTTATGTGCTGGGAACTGTCCTTCTTCTTCCCACTTGTCCACGAAGGGGTTAATCTCCTTGTCGATGAGCTAGATTTCAAAAATAAAATTTAAGAGTTATTAACACAGACATTCCTACAGAAACACCTTTGGCTACTTCTGTCTAAAAACTTTAATTTAAAAAGGAGAATTCTGAAAGCACATTAATTTTCTAACTTTCTGTTGGATGTCCTTATTCCCCACCCACCCACAACTACTACAACTGCAGCAAGGAGCCAAATATAAATCATTCTTTTAGGAATTACAACTACTACAACAGGAAGTCATCAGGGCTGGTTTGAGCCTCTCCAAGACCTACGAAAGCGGCAGTTCCCTCTCACTGTTTGTTACCTTTTGGGGGACAGGTTGCCCAGAGAAGCTGTGGCCAGGTTGGAGGGGGCTTGGAGCAACCTGGTCTGGTGGGAGGTGTCCCTGCCCAGGGCAGGGGGCGGCACTGGATGGGCTTTAAGGTCCCTTCCAACCCAAACCATTCTGCGATTCTATGACATGTCACCTGCCGATGTCCCAGATTTCTCTGGCCCTGGGAAGGGAGCAAAGATGGCCAACCTGCAGTAGTGCAGCCAACCTCTAAGCCTGGCAGAAACACCCAAACAACCCAGCTCCGTGCCAAAAGGCTCTACGCCACAGGGTCACTGAGCTCTTGAGCTTCTGCCAACTTGTACCAGCTCCTCATCCCCACCAACCTGCTGTCTCTCTAGGTCCCAAAAGGACCCACTCCTTCCTCCAAACCAACCTCACCGAAACAGACACCCATTCTGAGTAGAAAGTAAATGTTTTTAATCCGTTTTGCTGTGGCCAATAACACTGTCTTACAAAGAGAGGATTTATTATTGTAAGAACTTGCTCCTCTTAGTCCTTTCTCCACAGTAAATAAACAAGTCCTGCGGTGCTTGCTGTTTCTCCTGCTGGAAATAGACTCCTCTCCCTCCCAGACGTCTGGGCTCGGGAGACCCTGCGGAGCCTTCTTCTGAGCTGTCTATTTATTGCATATTCTTCAGAGAATTTCAGCCCATATATGGCTGCTTTCTGCTTCCCAGTCGGCCACAGAAATAAGGACACTTCACTGGTGGTAGCAGAAAATCACTTTTTCACTTTCCTCATCAAATTCTGAGAAACGTATATACTGAACGCTTGACTCATTCGGTGATTATCATCTCTCTCCCTCTCCTAGGCTCACTAACGTAGGTCTGATGATTAACAGTAACACACTGCTCACCAGGACACTCTTTAGAAGACCCCACACTTAACTTCTACACCGTCATACCCTACGTGCTTGGATTCTAGGACGTGGACCCTTAACATTATTATTGTTTGCAATAACATCTGGGATCACATCCAGGGACATCCCGAGAGAGGTTATGGAGTACGGACAGAAAGTTATCCCAGGGTTTTGATGGATCTCGGCAAAAGCACAAAGTGGAGCTCCTAGGAGAGTTCGGTGGTTCTTAGGGCTGGTGCTGGGCCAAACGCTTCCCAGGGGACACACAGAGCTACCTGTGGAGTTAAAGGGAGTCAGGAGAGTGACCGGGGCACTGCAGAGGTGGGTTTACCTCATTTCTACAGATTATGACCTGTTTGCTCTTTGAGTAAAACTCAAACTGTTTAAGAGAGCCAAAGTTTAATTATTACTAGATGAAGTTTGCCATGTGGAGTAACACAATATCTCCCTTGCATGACACAACAACATGAAAAAAAAAAAGTTAAAAAAAGAAGACAGCCTCACTGCACAAACCACAATCAGTGCACGCCTCTGCCCTGAGGAGAAAAAGGAATATCAGAGTCCAGATACCCATTCCCACTGCTGTTTCTTTGCCACTGGACCAGCCGCTTTAAACCGTGCTTTTGCAAAGAAGTGAAATACGTTTAAAAAGCTCTTGACATAACCTTAGAGACAAATTGTTTGCAAAACTCACACGGGCCATTTACAATCCCGAATGAGACTCTAAACGAACTGACCCTCTTGCAGGCACGCTGTGATATTTCCTTTAAAAGAATCATCCCTCAACACAAACCATCAGGAAACACAGATCCTTGGATGCTTTGCAGAGAGCAGAGGGGAGGAGGAGGCGGCTGTGGGGACACCAGAGGGCTTGGGTGGGAGAGGGGATGTGGGGAAACACCTCCCCTGGTTCCACCCCACACAGACACAGCCCACCCTGCGGAGAACAGGGGGGCAGGCAAATCACCCCACAAACCCAGCCATTCCCTGGGCCCCTTCCCTTGGCTTTGGCCAGTTCCTCACATGTGCTCCCCCAGAGAAATATTTCACACTTGAACTAATTTAAATCTCGACTAATTAACTTTGAATTAGCTTGATTTTCTTTCTTTGAATGCACACACCTTTAAGCAGCAAATGCCAAGAGCTGCAGAAATAAATTACACAGACACCTTAACCTAAACCGTAAGGTAAACATGCAGTGTTTGACAAAGACATAAACCTATAATTTTCAGAAGTAGGTGAGCACCCGGATTGTTTATTTTTATTTGCTTTATCACAATAAATGTGAAAATCATGGGTGGTAGCATTTAGACTTGCATCAGGAGAACACTGGCTGTACCAAGACCTAGAACTCCTCTCCATAGCCATATTTTCACACGAGGCACTAGAGGTGCCACCCGACAGACACCAAGGAAATCCCTTTACCTGCCCTAGCTGCCCAAATGTCGGTGGCATTTGGGGTGTAAAGATGATTTAGGAGCCACATCTCTCTCCCACCTGCTCCCCAAGTAGCAGTAGAGCACAACAGAAACCCTGCTGTTTTCCTGACGGGGAGGACACAGTAACTCTCATGTCCAGGACCAGTATTTTTCTCACAATACTTCATCTGAAGCATGAAGTCGGGATCCCAGGGGACTCAGCTCCAAATCCCACCTCGTGTCCCAGAGCCATCCCCGGCTGCTCCCCAGGGACCCCCCAGAAGAACGGCTTCAGGGCCGGTACCAGCTGCAAATTATTTCAAAAACCACGGTGGATATTTGCCCAGTCGGAAGCTGATCGAGCCAACAAACTCACTTCACGCTGAGTGATGGTAAGAAAAATAAAAGTGTTTTCATTTAAAACAGCCCTACAAAGTTTTGTGGAAACAGCACCTGTAACTTCCTGCCCAGGACGCGGAAACGCAGGGGCAGGGCTGGGAGGGGACACGGAAATTCAGATTATTATTTTATAGATTATTCTAATTTCTCTGTAAAATAGAGCAATGAAAACATTGTTCCCCAAAACGTTGCCAGGTAGTTGCCCATTTTGATTATTTTCCTCTGCGAGTTAGTACATTGTTTAAATGAGAAAAGAAACAGAAATGCCCATTTGGGGATTTTCCTTCACATGATGCTGAGTACTGGGTGCTGGTATTGTACCAGCCTCTTAGCAATTGCCATTCAATTCTCACTGTGCTCTAAAACAAATATACTATTTCTACAACAGTACAAACTGTAATTGAATTAATTTGGGTAATGAGAGTGTGTACAGATCTCCTTTACAGCAATTAAAGATTTCTTTCCATTATTCACCAGTAAGTTTACTTCCTATCAAGAACTCAGTTTAGAAATTAAAGGCCATACCACTTCTACACACACCACCTCTTACACCCGTTATAATACAGGGGTACTGTATTTCAGCACACAATTAGCAAGATGATGAACCTTGGAAAGAAAACAATAAGCTGAATTCTTACAAAATGAAGGAAATTTTTACTAAAGCTTCCTGTGAGTTACACCTAAGCTGAGATGAGACTGACTAGAAAAGCAAGAGAAAATGTCTGAGGAAAAGATATTTTGTGTTAAGAAGATTAAATGGATTTAGCAGTACCACGTAACTGTACTGTACCCTCTACGAGGAGCATTTCTTTTCCTTTAAATCAAGTTACAGCAATGGAACTTAGCTCTATTAATATCATAAACGGAGATAAAAAAATTAATGGGATCTTTAATGTAACAAAACAACAAATCACTAAGCGACACACCACTCATGACAGTTCTCAGCAGTTACACCTCGACACCAGCACAACAGTCTCTTCAAAGGGAGGAGGTGACAGACCAGAGAGCCCTTCGCCCTCGACACCAGCAATAACTAAGTTTTGCAGGACCTTTTTCTGGGGATTGGAGGTTTTGGGGGCTTGGTTGGGTTTTTTTGTTGTTGGTGGTTTTGCTTGTTTGGGTCTTTTGGTGTTTTGTTTTGTTTTTTTTTAATACTAACTCAAACAAGGGAGACTGCACTCGCTCCTCTTGCACATTCTCCGTTAGGACTCACACATGAGACCCTATGAAAAAATAACTCACTGCCACACAAGGGGTCCTGTTGAGGCAGAAAATGTCCCAGACAACCCCAAAACACCTCTCCCAAGTGTCATGTCCCAGACAACCCCAAAACACCTCTCCCCTTCACACAAGGCAAGTGTCCTTTTGCCCAAAACGTGGAAGATTTGGCACTGGGATACGACCTGCACCTCTTATTCCATGTTCACCCCCGACTGCCCAGCCACACACACGAGTCCTGGGCAAATGAGTGTCTGCAAGAGCTGCCAGGGAAGAGTTTGCCCTGTTCAGTGCAGGATTTGGGACTGGGCCTCGGTGATGATATGGAAACTTCCGTGCTCTGAGCTGCCATCAGGCCGCTGCTGGGAACAAGCCAAGAAAATGTTTTCCACAAGGATACAGAGTTGAACTGAAAAAGTTTGATTTAAGCATAGATATCTGTTTTGTGACCCTGGGAAAAACACTTGGCAGGGAAAAAAAAATTTAAAAAATCCTAAAACCAGAACATCCAGATAATTATACCCAGATAACTGTGGGATTACCAGGAGGTAAGGTTAGGACCCCCCTGGGATACAGAGTTGAACTGAAAAAGTTTGATTGAAGCATAGATATCTGTTTCGTGACCCTGGGAAAAACACTTGGCAGAGGGAAAAAAAAAAATAATCCTAAAAACAGAACATCCAGATAATTACACCCAGATAACTGTGGGACTACCAGGAGGTAAGGTTAGGACCCCCCTAAAGTGCCTGGCTGAGCTCCATGCAGGCACTTACACTCATCACCCCCTCTTTCCATGGCTGAGTTACTGATCTTTTATTTCGGTGTAAATGTACTAAGCACTTGAGAGAATAAAGAAACTGACATGTTACGTATAATCTGCTCTGCACGTGTGTAAATACACACAGATTTCAGGCTGTTCAGCTTTCCCCTTTTCCCTTTCCCAGTGGGTGGTGCATAAGCTTGAGACATTAAGAAATGAGGGAAAAGAGCCATTGCAGCTTGGCACTATAAACCTGGCCCAAAGGGGCAGGTAACACGTTATGGCCAGCACCTCGGGCATCTTTAGGATGCTTCTACTTCTCTGTTCCTTGCTGCAACGCGAGGGTGAAGAGGTCTGAACCACATCTGGGTCTCTCCACTGCCCATAGCCGTGGCCACAGCCAAGTTTCCAGGGGATTTAAAACCAATATTCAGTCAGCTCACCTAAGAGAAAACCAGAAAAAGCTTCCCGAGTGTCAGAAAATACAGGGCTGAAACAGGAAGACATATATTTACTATCAATTCATTAGAGCACCACAACTCCTTTTTGTTCGATTAAGCCGTGCCACAGGCAGCAGAGGAATTACACAATCTGCTCCAGCTCCGGGCACTGAAGACTGCAGTGATCAGCAAAAACAGGAACAAACTGCTACTAAATTAATTTTTCCCTTTCTCAAAGGGAAAAAGAAACTCAGTGGAGGGAAAACCCTGTAACATAAGAGTTGGCAGCATCTCATTATATAATAAAACATACCTGCCCTAATCTATTTTTACAGAATCTGATTTTTCAGAAAAAAAAAAAAAAGAAAACAAGCACTATATGGCTATTGTGCAATTTTTCCTGGTCTATTCCTTTGGCAGTAACTGGACTCACTTCTCCTTAAATCATTGTGTTTCTTCCCTTTCACTCACAGCACACAACATACACGAGGCAAAGCTGATCATTGGTTCAGAAATTTCAACACTGAAAATCTTTTGGGCCCTTACATCTGGCTACAGTTTTTACTGCAGGAGACACAAAAAACCCCCACCCAAACCCTGAATCAACCACAAAGTTTTTGCCAATGCACACCTAAATCTTAAAAACCCACAAGTTTTAGGTTGTAAAGCTTTAGGTGCACTGTCCTTCCACCCTGTGCACCTGGGAGCCCCGGCGCTGGATGGAGGGCACTCTGGATGGGCATCACCACCATGCTAAGGAAATAATGAAAAGGACCTGGGAGCTGAGCCCGGCTTAAGCTTTTCCTGAGGAACAAGAAGCTGGTCGGACTTTGGTGGGGTCTGACTGTCCCAGGGGAAACCCCCCTTCTCCTGCAGGGATGTACCTTGGGGTCACCAGACCCAGTCACCGCCGGGGAGAAAATGAAATCTCATTTCTATTACCTGCAACTCCAGTAAAACCTGTGCCAATCCTTCACAAACCTATTTCCCAAAGCTCCTTACGGCTAATGCCAGAGGAAAAGAAAACCAGGCAGCATGTATATCCCCTATGTGTACATCCTCCCATGCACACACACACAGAGCAGGGTAAAGCCTTTCCCTCCAAGGCAGTTCTCCTGTAATTTGGTCACGGCAGCAGCAATACCTCTGCCCCACGAGCATTGTTCAACGAGCGGGGTCACATCTGCCGTTCCCAAGAGGAAGGGTGGTGACCCACAGAGCTGTAAAGGAAACCACTCGCGAGCTCATTTCAATACCCTTGCTAAAAACAGCCCCCTGGAACTAGAGGAGTCTCTTCCTCATCCTGCTCAGAACAATTGGAAAAGTACAGGCCGTTTAAAATGCATTAATTTGGTAGATTAAAAAATAAAGTGAATGGAGATTAAAAAAAACCAAACAAACAAACAAAAAAGAAAAACAAAAACAAACAAACAAAAAAAACCAAAACCAGCTCTCCCTCATGGAATTGCACCGCTCATTTTTCCGATTTCTCCAGTAACTGCATCTGGATTTCACTAGAGGAAAGAGTGCCCCAAATTCCAAACCAGACACACTTACAACGCATCACAGCTCCTGGGCAGCCATTCTCTCCCAAATACTTCACTCTTCAGTTTAGCCTACACTCACTGAGGACAGGTGCAACTTTAGCCAAAACAAACATTGATTGCTAGAAGCTTTGGGGTAAACATCAGACTGGATTCAACATCAACTGGTGATTTTGATTTTTTTTTTCCTATATGAGATAAAATCTAAAATGAACGCTGTATAAGCATTTTGTAAAATACGGGACAGTGATAAAATTAGGTTTCCATTGCTTACTGTAATTTCTTCCACAATATACTCACCACAGGGATTTATGTGCTAAATAGCATCTCCCGGCAGCTGCACTCCCACAGGAGGGGGAAGAATAGAAACCAGGGATGGGGAAGGGGAAAGTATTTGTAAAAAACCACATTGTGTCACACAGCAGAGCAGCAAACACTGCACCCACAGCCACTGATACAGCCAGCTTGACCCCAACTCCCCCACAAACACCCAAGATACACAGCAACCTGTGCCTTCAGCTCTCCCCGGCACAGCAGGGCTTTGAAAACCTTCCAGATCCAGACCCCTGCCCTCACAAGGTCTGGCCTTCCCTCTGCCCTTCAGGAGGACACTGATTTTTCACTAGCAGGGCTGCAGTGCCCAGGCAGGTCACCGAGTCACCAGGGGTGAAGTTCAGGGGCAGAAGACTCTGCAGATCCACGGAGCAAAGGCTCGTTCCAGGCAGGATGAGCACAAACTCCACACTGGCATTAGCTGCAAAGCCCTGGGCTGCTAACCCAGGTGAGAGGAGAGGACTCATTTCCAGTGTCTTCTACTGGTCCTTTCTCTCACCTTACTTCTGCTCTGCAAGTCCAAGAATTTAGATGAATGAGCTCATTTCTTAGGAAACAGACAGGCACGCATCACTTTGCCTTATTGCTCAGGTTTTGTTTCTTTCTAATGCAGAAAATGAACCCACAACTGCTACAGCCCATGGATAACCGGCCTCATCTTAGTGACAGAAAACATGATTAATTAAATGGCCTTTGGGGATATCTTGTTTTAAAACTGGAGGTGTGAAAGTTAACTCCTAAAGAAAAGTAAAAACCACATGACTCAGAATTGGTTCCACCACCTGTCGCCCACAGTGAACCAGGAAAGCGGTGGAAATTGGGAAAAGCTTAAATTTATGCACAGATACTGAATTTCACTGAATTTTTAGAGTTGGAAGGGACCATAGAGATCATCTAGTTCAACTCCCCTGCTGAAGCAGGATTGCCTAGAGCTTGTTAGAGCACATCACCCAGGGCTGCATCCAGGTGGGTCTTGAAAATCTCCAGAGAAGGGGCCTCCACTCCCTCCCTGGGCAGCCTGTGCCAGGGCTCTGGCACCCTCACTGTGAAGAAGTTTTTTCTCATATTTGAGTGGACCCTCTTATGTTCCAATACGTAAGATCCCACAAGTAATTTGACAAAGCATCTACCGAAGAGGTGCCAGGGCAGCCCCAGGCCATGAGAAGGGGCTGGCACCGGGCCGTGCCGAGCACACGGGTTACAAAGAGCCTCCCTGACTGGGCCGCGGGCGAACCAGGGCCCCGTCCCGCCGCCGTGTGCTCCCACCGCTCCCCGCACCGACCTTCAGCCCCTCTCTCGCCGGCCCGAAGGCAGCCTGCCCCCGCAGCTGGGCCCCTGCCCCCAGAGCAGCTAATTAGCCACCTCCACCGGCTGGGCGTGATTACCCCGCGGCCTCCCGCACGTGTGAGAGCTCCGGGAGCGCCCCGCAGCCCCCCGC